ACCTCCTGATGGCAGGTGACTCCAGTGTCCTCATCATCCTCACCCTTCTCTGATTGCAGCCTTTGATTTACCACACTATCCTTCTGAAAAGACTTTGGCATTAGTCATATCCTCCTAGCCTGGTTCACCTCATATCTCTCAGATTGCACTCATTTCATTCAACTTAAATTTCACTTTTTAGGTTCATTTTCTGTTTCTGCTGGTGTGCCACAGGGTTCAGTATTAGGGCCTTTTCTATTAATTTTTTACATGCTTCCACTTGGTTACATACTCAGAAATTTAATATTAAGTTTCACTGTCATGCTGATGACACTCAGCTGTATATTTCTTCCTTCTAGCCGCTCTGCACCGCGGCACTGGAATTCCCTTCCTCCTGATATCAGGAATACTGGCTCTCTCTTCTCATTCAAGTCAAAACTCATCTGTTCAAACTGGCTAACTCTCTTTAAACATTGATTCCAATCAATGACACCGTTTATACTGTAATACAAACCTATCTGAAAATGTGAGGAAAGAAGTCACCAAACTGCTGACTCATATTTGTGTTTGTGCAGCAGCTTTATTAAGACAAAGTATGAAACTAATGTACAGAGCAGCATCACCTCATCACGTTAAATATGAAGGCCACTGGCTATGAATGTCTCAGTGAGTTTGAGCTGGCGATGAACAGATGAATGAGTGCTGAGTTTCTGCAGAGCAGCTCGTGGAGATCCAGCTTCTCGGGTTTTGAACCAGCACGCAGTTGGAGTTGTTCTCGGGCTCACCGGGGCTCACCGGCGCCCCCCTCAGTCTGGAGGAAGACAGCGAGCGACTGTCAACCCACGATGAGCGTCCTGGACCTCCAGACAGACCTGAGGAGCAGACAGAGGAGCCGTCAGTCTGGAAGCAAAGCCTGACACGCACCAGGCCTCAGGATACAACATTTCATCCACTGGAGCTCCAAATCAGAGTCACTGAAACAAAAACCTTTCATCGTCATCAGAATCAGCCCGAAAACTCATGAATAAAGAAAATCTGCTCAGGTTTGCGAGCTTAAAAGTTTCCAAAGAGTTCAAAGCATCAAAAGATGGCAGATTCAAGAGTGATCCAGAGGGCCACACCGACACCACAAAGCTTCCTTTGTGTTCAGGTGTATGAGAACAAACTCAGCACCTGTGTGACAATGATCCTGCAGTTTACCTGCAGCACAGCCTCCTGCCAGGTAACAATGACAGCTTGATCGCTCTGAGAACAGAGTTTAAAAAAAGACAATGTCTTTGCTTTCTTTGCCACATATTCAAAGTGACTCTAAATTTCTGAAAACAGAACTTTGCTCGTTTATTCCTCCTACGTCAGCATCACCTTTGATTCTCTCTGAGCCTGCAGGTCCAGCGAGGTGTTACTAAGAGCCCAAAGTGAACATCTGTGATTCAGCCTGCGTACAGTTTCACATATCTGTGCTACATCCTAAAAACACAGAGAAATAAAATCTGTTTCCCAGTCAAACTGCAGAGGCCTGCTGGGGTTTGTTCAGACTTTCAGTTCTTTAAATGTGGATAAAAGTCAACATGACCCAAAAGCCAAGAAACATCATGAAACAGCTAAATTAACTATTAATTAACTTGATTAATTACTGGTTATCATTATTGAGGAAACACCCACCGATCCAAAATGGCTTCTTCCCTGCAAACCTCCACAGCCAGCTCACATCTCTCCTGGAGTGCACGTCGGTCAGGCTGCTGTTAAACCTGCCAGAGGAGAGGAGAGCAAAGGTCAAAGGTCACATCAGAGAGCAGGTTCTTCACTGATTAATATTTCCATCCTGCTCATACGTGCAGCACAGAGGTGCATGACCTCAGGCTGGCTCAGCATCGTTGCCTTAATTAAATGAAGCACAGTTTTCAAATGCTCATGAAGTTAAAATAAAAATCAAACAGTCACTGCGATGGTTCAAAATCTTTTTCTTGCTTTGCAGCTGCAGGCTGTTCGCCACGCACAGCTGGAAGAAACTCTGTGAGGACCTCCTTTAAACCGTCAGATGTGTTACAGCGAGACTCATGGTCATGTTTTAAACATGTCATGGACATCAGTGATGATTCTGACTTGTGTCACATCTCAGCTGAGTGACCAAATCTGAAACCAAAGATCAATCAGCAAACCGGAAACAGAGCAGAAACTGAGTCAGAGGAGAAAGCGGCTTCTTTACAGCAGCGAGCAGGTTCTGTCGGCGCTGGCCCAGCTCGCCACGGACGGGCTGAGGATGTAACATCGTCTCCTGTGGTGCGTCCAGCCATCAGGACATGAGCTGCTCACAGACTTCCCCACCTGAACACACACAGATAGCCAGAGGTCAAAGGTTACTCCGGTGTGTGTGTGTGTGTGTGTGTGTGCAGGTGTGTGTGTGTGTGCCTTGTGCTGGCGGAGCTCGGGTTGGTGTTTCTGAGCTTGATGAGCCATCTGAGGAGAATCTCCAACTTGGAGTTCCTGCAGGGGGCGACCGTGAGCTGACCAGCTCCACTCAACATCGCCCGGTTGCAGCTCCTCCAGCCGGAGAGGAGTCAGACTGTGGAACTGGAGGAAGAAGGAGGAGGGGAGGAGGAGGAGGAAGAGACATTAACACAGTGAGCTTCAGTCGGTCATTGGATAAACTGGCTGAGTGTCTTACCGTCCAAACCTTCTCCTGCTCGTCCTCAGGCCTCCTCTGTGCAGACAGATGGACCTGAACAACAACACAAAGTTCAGAATTTACAGAAAGACACACTCACACAAACACACACAGACGAGAAAATGGATCACAAATCTGTGAACAGATATTGTTTGAGAACGCAGGCGGTGCCCATCTGAGCCCAACTTCCTGTTCGCTGATTTGTTACGATCGTGTGACAATCGTTCACTCTGACTGTTTAAAGTTTAAAGAACTCAGATTCATGTTCTGTCTGTGTCTCACCGTGCTCCCAGTGTTCCCAGTACTGCTTTCAGTGTGCTGCTGAATGTTTAGGTGGCTGCTGTGGGGGGTGTAGCCATTGCTGTGGGGCTCTGGGTCTCGTGGCTCCACCTCTTTGTAGTCCAGGTGATGTCGATTCGGGACGTCTCCTCGGGGCGGGTGAGGCTGGTTCTCCCACAGCAGCTCCGCATCTATATTGATGACCGGAACCTCCTCTTCCTCCTCTTGCTGCAGAGGATCAGGGAGCTGAGGAGGGAGAGGGGGAGGAGTAGGAGGAGGAGGAAGGGGGCGCTGATCATCTTCTACCCACAGGTCGTCTGGGTCACAGCTTCCTGAGACACAGAAGCAATCCTTTAACGTTCAGTCGAATCTAAGACTGACCAGCGGCTTAAAGTCCTAACTGTGATGGTGTGAGGATGGTTTGATGGAGCAGCAGTTTTCATTTCAAATCGACTGGAATCATTTTTAAATCCCACTCACAGACAATTTATTGTATTTATTTCTCAGTTTGTAGAGTTAAACTCATTCATTCATTGGACTCATTGATCAGATCGATCATGTCACCTCGGCGGGGGTCGATGATCTCCACGGTGGCCGAGCTCCTTGGTCCCAGGACGGCGTTCTGGGGGTTTCTCAGCGTGACCGTGAAGCTCTCGTGGTTTTCTTCCAGGCCGTCGTCAATCAGGTAAATGTTCCAGGTTTTCACCTTCACACCTGAAGCACAACAAAAAACAGCTGTTAGACAGGGACTGCACGCTGCGCCACAACAGGTCACATGATGAGGCGGTGAAAGTCCAAGCGGCGGTCAGACCTGGATCGAACTGGATGAGACTCGCAGTGCTGTGAGTGAAATCTCTGCCAGCTTTGGCTGATCCTTCGTCCACCTGAAGAAGAAGACGTCAGGATTTTAGTCCAAAACAAACCGAGCTACAGCTTCCTGCTCGTTACACGTCGGCTTCATTCGATTCTCAGCTGCTTTTAATCTAAGTCAGAGTTCGTAAAAGCTGGAGTCTTTCGCAGGTTTACCACAGCGGCTTGAAAACTGAGAAACGCTCAGGAAGACATCTGAGAGTCTGCGATTGCACTCAGACTTAAAACAGAATCTGAGCAGACAAAGCGGTTAGGAACTTCCTGTTTAATATATTATAAACCAGGAGGCGGGCGAGGCGTGACCTGGATGGCGACATAGGCCGGGTCAGCGCTCCTCCCGTTGCGCTGCACGCGGATCTGAAGTGTCCCGGCCGTCTCACAGGTTCTGTAGCAGGTCGCCGACAGCTCCACTCGAGACCAGGACAGCTCCAGCCTGCAGGAAAAAGAAGAGGCTGTTAGAGTCAGACAGCACCCCCACCTGACCGAAGGTTTCATTTATGTTCACAGAGTAACCACGAGCAGACAGACAGGATGTGATGTAACGTACGTCTGAGGCAACGCGCTGTTTCCTGCCGGATCTCTGAGGACAAACAGGAAGCTGTCAGACGTCACTTCCACATCAGCGGGGAGGACGAACATCACGGCTCGCCGATCCACGTCACGCTGCGTGAAACGACCTTTGATGTACGACCCTGATGGAGCGAGAGAAGGAAGAGGAAGAGAAGGAAGGCTTTTAATCTGACTGCACAGTAGGAGAAGCACGTGAGCCCTGCACAGGTGAGCCTGTGTAAGCAACCATCAGTTTCCTCGCACACCTGTGGCGGCGTTCTCCAGGTATCCTAAGAGTGGAGGTCTGCTGATGGAGAATTCGAGCTCCTCTGTGGGGCTGTTAGGGTCTGAGGCCTGCAGCTCTCTGCTGGTGATGAAGATTCCGTAACGGCCGCCGCCCAGATCCACCACGGTGCTGGGACTCCCCCTGGTGGTCAGAGTGGGAGGCGTCCGGTCGACCCAATCCACCTGAACACAGCAGGAAGTTAAATCAGTAACACAGAACCAGCGAGCACTTCAGGGGGACGAAGATCAGAGGAAACTGAGCAGCAGGAATCGAAAAGAAACCAAACGAGTCAAACACACACAAAAAACTTTTTTATTTTAATTAGGGAAACACTTCGTTTGTGCATCCGTCATCAACTCATCATCTCACTTCAGGACCTGAATGAACAGTTTAACGAACAGTGTTTTCTGGAACGTGTCTTCAGACGAAGTTCAGAGGAGAGGATGAGGATGATTTGTTGGTCATGCAGAGATAACAGTCGGGCTTCAGTCAGGCTTACGGCTTCCCAAGAAAGCGTCGCTCTGTCAGCACTTTACAGAAACTCAAATCTGTGGAAACGACAGATTCAAAGGTGATGGAGGAAGTGACATCAGAAACAGCAGCATGTGACATCACGTGTTGGCGGAGCTTCAGGTCATCCTTTGTCATCCTGATTTAAGATCTGAGCAGAGGCGGTCGGTGGAAGGAGCTTTTACGCTGCTGTTGTCATCAAACTGAGCACAAATCATCTCCCCCTCGTTCTCTCAGTGCCTCCTTTTCCTGAAAAGGCCTGCTGCACTTCATCTCAGGATTTTTAGGTTCTTGATATTTCAGAGAACTTTCTGAAGCAGCAGAAACTGATCAGTGTGTGTTATTTTACCCGTCTCTCTCTCTCTCTGCCTGCAGTTCAGTTGCCTGACCACCAGGTGTCACCGATGTCCTATGTATGAGTCTGTTCATGGATGATTCTGCTGACACTGATGAAGCTTATGCCATCCTCTGACTTCAGCTCTTTTTTGGTGTGTGTGTAATTCATTTTCAGAGCAGGAACAGAACATCTGAATAAGACAAGGTCCTTTAATATCTCAGTGATCTGCAGTTTTTTCGGTTTCTAATATTTTAAAGAACAGAGGAAGGAGCCCAGTTTCATTCATGCGGGTCGCATCTGTTATGTCCAAACACAAACAGACATAAAATCTACGTCATCATCAGGTCAGAGATTTTTGCTGCAGGCATGAGCAGCTCCTCTGTGAGGGGATCCTCTGCTGCTTTTCATGGATGCTCCCTGCTCTAATGACTACACACACACACACACACACACACACACACACACACTTTTCATTGATATCCTTCTCACACACAAACTATTCGATGTTTGGTCCAATCACAGGTGGCCTCCAGAGTCTCAGAGGCTCGAGGCGATGGTGTTAGCCACCTGGCTGCCTGTCAGCAGGTAACCTGTGGGGAGGAATCCAACTCTGGGTCAAAATCAGGCTTTTAGTGGAAACCTGGAACTGGTTCCAGATCAGGACCAGCACCTCCTGTGTTTGGTCCATTTTCACTGCTGGAAGTTGCTGGTTTGAAGCCGTGTGCAGAGGTCCAGATCGTTGTTTTTTGGGCTCCGTCTGACCTGCTTTAGTTATTATTAAAATTTCGCGTTTCTGCTGTGAGATGAATAGAGTAATTCTACCTGTGGATTGAGCCACACTGACCTCTGACCCTGCAGTCAGTGTTTGGTTCTGCTGGAGTTTTCTGCCTGATTAAATTGAGTTTTTCCTTCCCACTGTCCCCCGGTCACAGGGGTCACGTGGTTGTTGAGGTTTACTTTGTATTATTGTAGAATCTTTACCTTATCAAAAAACCGCCTTGAGGTGACTGTTGATGTGATTTTTGGTTTTATAAGTAAAATTGAACTGAAATGTTCAGACTTCCTGTGTTGTGTTACTTCCTGTTACTTCCTCTGAGTTGTGTTGTGCGTTCGTGGCTCACCTGTATGTCAAACACAGCAGGCTCCTCCCTCAGCTGCCCAAACTCCAGGTAGCCCCTGTTGTGTCCGTCGCTCGGCATAAAGTAGAACCCGTCGATCTTCGCAGGGCTGCTCGGGTCGTGTTGGTAAGTCAGGTGGAGGTCGTCCACGTTTGTCTGGGAGAACCGGGGCGGCGAGGGTAGCGGCGTGCCTCTCAGCAGCAGCTTCCCGTGCTGCGGCAGCTGCGTGATGACGTATCCCAGGTTGGCGGTGGTAGTGTCGGGGTCGGTGAGCTGCAGCTGGTCCGAAGTGATGGTCACTGTGGAGCCATCCTGCAGCCGGAGGCCAACGTTGCGGCTGAGGGTGGGCGGGATGCGGTCACCATGCTCGATGGTGAAGTGGAGGGTGGAGCTGCGAGACGAGTCACTGTTTGTAACAACAAAACTGAGGAGAGAAGAGTGGAAGCAGTTAGAAACTGATCTGATATTTAGCTTCAACTCAGTTCTGCAGCGCCTCCCGATGGGAGAACATGTTATACAGGACATTGTCCTCAGGTTGAGGCAGTGTCCCCCAAACCAGTGTGTGTCTGTGTGTATGTGTGTGTGTGTTTTGTCCTCTCTGCTCTGTGCCAACACAATCTGCCTCTCAGCCCTGCAGCTGACAAACTGCCCCAGGCCTACACACACACACACACACACACACACAGTCCTGGTGTAACATCTGGCTGCAGTAGCGTCCACGTTTGCCCAGGGACGGCCGTGCTCTGGTTGTCGGTCGCTGTCGTGCCAACGTTGTTGTTATTTTTCTAATAATACACATTTATCATCTGCTGTCACCACACACACGCGCACACACACACACGTGTGCACCTGAGTCCTAACACACATCATCAGTTAAAAGGTAAATCCAGCCACAGCTCAAGCTCTAAAAGAGGGTGTCAAACATGTGGCCCGGGGGCCAAATCCGGCCTTTCAGAGGGTCCTTTAAAAGCAGCCAGCGTTAATGTTGAAGAATAAAAGATTTTCACATCATTACTAGTTTTTGATTGAGGCTAAATATTTGTGTTGTTCCATGACAGAGACACACTAACTAACTGAGACACGATGTTCAAACTGGTTTTCTTCATCTTCTGACTCGCCGGGCTGTTCGTGATCTTATCTTTGTGACCTTATTTTGATGTTTTCCGAAGTTAAAAAGGGGACATTTCCTCCTCCTTGAATATATAACTGTAGTGGTCTAAACTACATGAGACTGAGTTTGTCTGTGCCTTCTAAAGCTGACAGGCTTACGCTGATGAAAGCTGTTTCACCCCGATTCTGATTCCAGATCTGATTCCGATACTAGGAACGTGATCAGAATTAAAGGAAATCCAGTGTAGTTGAAGCCTAAACTCTAACTGTAAACCTCGCAAGATAAGAAATACTTCCTCTCAAAAGTCTGGAAATTACTGCCCCCCAGCAGCCAATCAAAAAGAAAATACACAAAATGAAAACATCAATAAATTAAAGTCATTCGTATAGCTCTAACATGAATGCAGGTACTGAGGTGTGAGGTAGTAAAGAAAGTGTTCAATTATCAGTTATCCACATTCATGCACCACAGCTACAACCACTGGAGTCAGCTGATGGAGGAATCTAATCAGCGAAAGCAGTTATTAATTCCCGCAGCTTATCACAGGTTTTATTTTGTTCAATTGATGTTTGATGATAAATGATGACCTCACTCGCTATCGGTTCTACACAGCCACAACTTAAACAGACATAATCAGCTGGAGCTCCACAGGAAACACAGCACACTCTTTCACTATGCAGATGACACCCAACTTTCTGTGTGAAGCCAGATAACACACACCAACTACTTAAACTGCAGGGATGTCTTAAAGACAAAGACCTGGATGACCTCAAATTTTCTGCTTCTAAATTCACATAAAACCGAGGTTATTGTACTCAAACCTAAAATCTTACAAATATGGTATCTAACCAGATACTTACTCCAGTAACACCAGACCAGCATGTCATTCAGTGCACATATTAAACAAATATGTAGGACAAATGGAAGAACATTTGTGCAGGATCTCTAAAATTAGAAACACCCTGTCTCAGAGTGATGCAGAAGAACTAGTTCATGTATTTATTATTTCCAGGCTGGACTACTGTAATTCATTATAATTCAGCTGCTCTGGAAGCCGTCAGAGTGTGGCTCTCTCTCTCAGTCTTGGCTGTGATCTGATGGGTGTTCGGGAGCCAGATAGCCAGCCGGCTGGGGCAGCAGAGGTCTGGGTGACAAACCCGGGGTCTGCACACACCAGCATGCTCCCCTCCTCCTCCTCAAAACCCTAACCGCTGCCAAATTGGCTGGAAAAGCAGATAAACATACTGCAGCAGGGAAAGCCTCTCGTCTCCTGATGCTGAGCCTTTTTTCCTCTCGTCTCCGTGCCCAGTTTTCTTTTGTTGGCCAAATGTTGTGTGTGATAGTTTTGTGTGTGTGTGTGTGTGTGTGTGTATCGGGGGGGGGCAGAGAATTCCTCCTCTCACAGTGTGCAGATTTTCACAGGATCCTCAGCCTTTTATTCATCATCACAAACATCCATTTTATTCTGTCATTGTGACTTGTATCTGGACACAAAGTGATTTAAGGGCTAAAATGTTCTTCTTGACAATTAGATTTCTTATTTAACAACAACAGGGTTTTAAAACTTCATAAGACCTTAACCACTCTGAAAGCATCACTTTTATTTTGAAAACTGTGTTTAATAGTTGCCATCTGACATATGCAGGTTGGTCAGGTTCCTGTTGGTCCTCAATATCATTCAACCTCCTCCTCATTCTGTTTTGGAAGCTTCTTCTAACCAGAACCTGCAGCAGGAGTACCGTTTGTGAGCAGAACCAGAGCTACCACCTGCAGAACTCAATTCAATTTTATTTATATAACGCCAAATCACAACAGCAGTCACCTCAAGGCACTTTATATTGTAAGGTAGACAAAAACCCAACAATCATATGACCCCCTATGAGCAAGCACTTTGGCGACAGTGGGAAGGAAAAACTCCCTTTTAACAGGAAGAAACCTCCGGCAGAACCAGGCTCAGGGAGAAGCGGCCATCTCAAGTTGAGATTCAGTGTTTTGACACAGTGACGGAGTTCCAGCAAGCATCTTAAATCTTTAATGCACGGTCAGAAAAGAACCTCCAGGAAGTGTCCTTAAATCAAGGAATTGGTCCGGAGAACACTAGCAGATGACCTCGGAGGGCAGGTGGGGTAAACTTAAATATACTAAAGAACACACCGTGTGTAACACACAAACACACAGCAACGGTTTGAAAGCTGACAGATTGCACTGTAACGGTTCTTGGAAAAAGAGCAGAGAGAAAACCCGGAGTGTTTGTTTTTTTAAAAATCAGGCTCCGCCTTCACCTGCACAGCGGCTGTCATTAAAAGAAGCTGCTCTGAGCTCCAACTCTCACCTGAAGGAGTCAGCCTCGGCATCATGGCTGTTGTCGTGGGTGTAGCAGACTCGGTGCGCGGCCACGTCCAGCTGGGTGAAGCTGAGTAGCGGGACTCCAGGCCGGTGGACGGCGTGGACGAGGCCGTGACGCGGCGGGTCAGACACCGTGTAGACCAGCTCCTCGGGCCGGCCAGTCGAGTCTGATGCCAGCAGGATGTCAGTGTTCAGGACGACACGCTGCCCCTCCCTCAGGTGCACCGGCCTGCTCAGCACCACGACGTCCCCTGGAGGCAGTCAGAGGGAGCGTTCAGGTGTCAGAGGGGACCGAGCGATTGCCTACATAATACATGTGACAGTCAGGGCCCAAGTTCAACTTTTCAACTAAAAAGCACCCAGAGGAGGTGAGGCGGCGCCCTCCACAGCTGCTCCACCTCCCCGCCATTAATTATTCAGCAGCCGAGGAGGTCGGCCATTTCTCACCTCTCTGTTCCTCCAGGATCACAGGGCGCCAAGCCAGAAGGGCCGCAGACCCACGGCAGCGTGTTCATCCGACTGGTAAAACCGGCAGGAAGGGGGCGCGCTCAATAATGAATGAAACAGGGCCACACAGGGCCCTGTGTGTGTGTGTGTTTGAGTGAGTGTGTGTGTGAGTGCGAGAAAACATGAAATAAAATCATGACCTGGATAAAAGTGTTACTGCTGAATTCTCTGCATTAAAACTCTCTGTGACCTCTGACCTTTCTGCATCACGTGCACAGAGATGAAGAAGCTCTGAGCCGGAGACTCGTTGTCCAGGTCGCTGAGGGTGAAGCGGAAGCTGTCGTGACCTTTAAAGCCGGCTGCGTTGGTGGCGGCGGTGTGTTGGTACCGCAGTCGGTTCATCTCCACGTCGCCCTGTGTGAAGTTCTGACCCGCCGTCAGCTTGTTCCACCCCGACGTCGTCTGCGGGCGAGACACTCGGATCAGGAAGAGACGCGGCAGGAAGACGAGTCACCTTCAACGTCTCACATCAGCCTCAGGTCACAATTTAATCAGGAGGATTTAACACCTGCACAAACACACCTGACTTCCTGTTTCTGCCACTTCCCCTCCCATCCTTCATTCCTCTCGTCCCTTTCTCTTTCCGCTCTTATTCCCTTACTTTATTCTACCATTTGTTGTCTTCATCCTCCCTTCACTCCTCCTTTCCTTCATTTTCTCCTTTTCTAATTATTTTCCTCCTCTTGATTCCATCCTTAGTCTTTCAATCCTTCCTTCCTCTACTCCTCTCATCCTCCCTTGTTCCTTTCTTTTTCCTTCCCTTTCCTCCTTTAATTCTTCCTTCTTTCCTTCCCCCCTCCTCTTTAAACTTTTAACCTGGAAACAACTCAAACTGAAATCTTTGCTTATTATAGAAGTAAAACTCTGTAAACACACACACGCATGCACAAACACACACACACCTTCAGCTGCAATTTTCCAAACCGCGGAGCAACATTAAGGAAGTAGTACACCTGTTCTGGGGGCGTGTCCAGGTCCTCAGCCTCCAGAACCACACTGGAGATCACCCTGAGCTCACCTGAGTCCACCTGCAGCCCAGCATTCCTGAAACACCACAGAAGAAAATTTCTCATTACGTTTGTGGCCAAGCACATTTTTCTGTTCTCAGCATGCTCATAACTTCCATCCTGCATGGAGTTCAACTCAAACATCTGTTTAACTTTAAGTTAAACAGATGTTTGAGTGCCCCCTCCTGGCAGATCTGTGTTCAGAGTGAGACAAAAGTTCACTTAAACTTGTTTCCTGTGCAACAAAACTGCAGACAGAGAGGAGGTAATGACACTGACCCTCTAAGAGCATCTGTATGTCACAACACCAAGAGCGAACCAACATCTCTGAGGTGAAGTGCAGAGATGAAGCGCAGAGGTGGAGAACAGAAAATATTGGTCTGCTTCAGCTTCATCTTTTAGCTGCACTCTGGATGACTTTAACAAAAAATATTTCTGACTTTAAAAACATCTTGCTTTATTTTTATCATCAAACACGTTTCGCCCTACAGGACTCGAAGAAAACACGAACAGAAGCCGTTTGATGTGAGTCACGAGCAGGAGGGTGAAGGTTTGTGTGAGCAGGCTTTTCCTGTGGGATGGTGGAGATGTTGGTGGTGCTGGTGGTGGGGTCTTTTTTTGTTTTTTTGAGGTGGGGCGGTGTTGAACATCAGGAACCATCTGGCTGCTTCTTCACTCGGAAGTAAAATCCACGCAGGAGCGAAGCTGCCACGTCCATCCTGCAGGAAACGGGAAAACAAGGCAGCCGGCATCTGCCAAGTCTCTGTGTTATTTCTGCCTCGGCGGCCTTTACAGCACCAGCTCAGCCTCCGCCAGCAACCTCCACCCCCACCAACACAGCTGATCTGGGGACGGCGCAGGGGAGGGGGTGAGGGACAGTGGGTGGGAGCCCAGTCAAGGATGCAAATTCACAATCAGTGGAATGAAAACACTAAGGATGGGGGAGGAGGGGGTCACAGGTCACACGCACCTACCACCCCCTCCCCAAATGCTCTGGATTACACAGCAGCTGCAGACAGATGTTAAACCGGACGTCTGCTGACAGTTCAGGACTTAAACGAATATCCGAACACCCAAACAACACAAAAAATTCTAAACAGCTCAAAAGGTGACGCGATCGGAGCCGGAGAGATTTCTGAATTTCAACTTTTAGGGTCCAACGCTCAGACTGCAGAGGAACAACAGAGGTACAGGTGTGAGGTGGAAACACCTGGACTGAGCATCACACATAAACTTTCATTTTTAGAGTTTTTACGCCGTATTAAGAATTTACTGCACTTGTTTCTGTAGCAGTTTGTGACAGTTAAACGGATTTTTGCTGCTCTGTTGTCACACTGTGCAGGTAATTCCCCCTCCCTGTGCAGCAGTGCCGCCTGCTGTGCGGAGGCAGAAGTTTCTTTCCATAAAGCTCAAATTAATCCAAATTATAGTAGGTCCATGTGACGAGAGGAACTAAACCCAAAACATTTCACCTCCTTTACAGCTTCTCTTTACTTCCTCCCTGAAAACCTTTAAAGAGTTTTAAATCTCCTCACATACAAGGTCTTAAATAATCAGGTCTTATCTTAATGACTTTATAGCACCATATTACCCCATTAGAGCACTGACGCCTTACTTCTTGTATTTAAGTATTTAAAAGTAGAATGAGAGGCAGGGCCTTCAGTTTTCAAGCCCCTCTTCTATGGAACCAGCTTCCAGTTTGGATTCGGGAGACAGACACTAGCTCTACTTTTAAGATCAGGCTTCAAACTTTCCTTTTTGCTAAAGCATATAGTTAGGGTTGGATCAGGTGAAGCCAAATCCTCCCATAGTTATGCTGCAACAGGTGTAGGGTGCTGGGGGATTCCCATGATGCACTGAGTGTTCCTGTGTGTTAACACACCTCTGCTGCATGTAATTAACTTTTGTCTTCTACTTGCTGACATCCGTGTTTGGTCTCAGATAAAGGAAGGCAGTCTTAGATATTTCTGTGTGACACCATGTTTCTGAGGTTTTTAGGGACAAGAACATTAACTTCATAACAACGAGAATAAATGTGTGTGACAAATTGAAAACGATGTTCAGCAAATGACACAAAACCATCAAGAAGAAAAACATTTTGCAGCAGCTGCATTTTTAATTCCTGCAGCAAAGTCACAGGAAATGTAAAACATGTTCAGCCTCCTTTCACCTGATTTTAATTTCAGACCCACAGGAAGCCAGATCCACATCAGGGTGAGCAAACACCACTGTGTGTGTGTGTGTGTGTGTGTGTGTGTGTGTGTGTGTGTGTGTGTACTTGAGCAGTCGTGGTTTCTCGTCGTTGACCAGCAGCACGGTGACCTGAACTGTTCCCTCGACTGCATGGACACCATCTGTCAGCCGCAGAGCCACGGCGTCCTTCAGGGTTTCTGTGTCATCGTGCATGTAGACGATCCTCATGCCTGCAGGAGGAAAACAGAAAATATGGAGCAGTGTGTTTCTGTGAGCATGTATTCATATCTTTGTGGGGTTAAAAAATTGGATGTTCCCACTGTCGCCAAAGTGTTTGCTCATAGGGGGTTCTCTGTATCTATTATTGTACGATCTACTGTACAATATAAAGCGCCTTTAGGCAACTGTTGTTGTGTTTTGGCGCAATATAAATAAGAATATAATTGATGTTAACTATACTTATGGGGACTAACATCCTGGTCCCAACAAGTTTGAAGGCATTTTTTAGACTCAAAATGTGGGGTTTTTTTTGGTTTTTTTTAATCAACATTTAGGAATCACTGTACAATACCATTAACTTCAGCAATTTTTTACTACATGTATTTCAAAATGTGGTTTTAGTGACAGGGTTACAGTTGGGTTATGATTAGGTTTAGGGTTAGGCATTCATTTTGATGGTTAGGGTAAGGGCTAGGCCAGTAGCTCCCCAACTTTTTTTGGTAGGCCCCCCGTTGTTTTACAAGAAAATCTTTGCGACCCCCCCTCCCCGGCACAAACACATCCTCCAACCACACACATATTTTTTTTCAAACTCCATTGCAGTTTATTTCACACCTCGAACCTTTTGTAAACAATTAAACAAATAAAAATTAACTGCAATAAATTACAGGTAGCAATAAAATGAACTACTAACTCTTACACTACGTCCACATGTACACGAGTATTTTTGAAAATGCATCTTTTCCTATGCATTTGGGCCTTTCGTCCAAACGTAAACAGTGTTTTAGATCACTGAAAACTGAGATTTTGAAAAACTCCTGCCAGTGTGGAGTTTTCAAAGTCTGTTCTTGCATTTACCTGTGGACGAGGAAAACGGAGATTTAGTCACGCAACGTCAAAGGTGTGTGCCTTTTTTGGCATCACGCTGTGCGCCACGACTATCTGCAGTTTTTACATAAACACACGCAGTTACTGTCCCTCCATTTAGAAAGACAAAGGCGTCAGAGTGAACTTCGGACGTGGCTTCTACGTTCACCACAGACGCTTTTACAACCCAACGCTGTTGTCGTCAGTTTTGAATACATTTAATTTTTTTAAAATTATGTATGCTGTATGCATTTGTCCATTCCTAAGTTGTGAGTCTACATCAGGCATATTTAACAGCGCTGTGACTTATGATTATGAATCACTCAGGCTGATTTTCAGTTTATTTATTGAATAAACTCTGGCCAAGGGAGTCAATGAGACAAAATCCAAAATACTGTCTTTAGTTATTAACATTTGAAATGATGAAGGCGTTTGAAAAGTAACACAAAATTAGCTGCCTTTCCAGAAAAACACAAAAACTTTTCAGTACTTTACTCCCAGGCGTCTAGACTTCTGATTGGCCAACATTTCTTCACAGTTAGGATTTGGCACATTCTTGACAGCGTTTAACTTCATTTTTTTTGTTTACATGTGGACGGAGATATTTTTTTCAAAACTGTACATGTGGACGGGATTTTTTAATTTTTTTTTAACGAAAATGGAAAATCTCAGTTTTCAAAAATACCCGTGTACCTGTGGACGTAGCCTTAAATAACAAAAACAAACCATCTTTATGGTGTGATTATTTTACGTGGTTGTTTTTTTGTTTTTACTGTGTAAGAATATTCAACACTGCTGTCAATACAAAAAATTACTCTGTGCAAAATGGGTCTAAAAACATAAACAACTGTGGGATACTGTTTGTCTGTGATTTGGGGCCGAGGTATTCCTGCATGCACTCTCCGTGTATGCATGGATTCTCTCTGGGTACTCCAACTTCATCCCACAGTCCAAACACATGCAGTTAGTGGGGATAGGTAAACTCTAAAGTGCCCATAAGTGTGAATGGTTGTCTGTCTCTATGTGTTAGTGACCTGTCCATTGCATACCCAGTCTCTCGCTCTAAGACAGCTGGGATTGACTCCAGCCCCTTCGCGACCCTGATTTAGATAAGCAGAAGCAAATGGATGGACCAAAAGCATTTTATTTTTTAGATGGTTGGGAACACGGCCCTGCTGCTTACCCTCTCCGAATATGAAATAAAAAGCGATTATTGCTCTTGTTCAAAGTCATCCTGGTTCAAAGTGTTTGAATGATGATCATCTGTATAAAACACCAATAATCTAGAATGTATTCACATTTTACTTTCACACTTCCTGTTTGAGTGACTGCCTCACCTTGTCGGAGCTCCTGCAGAGTGAAAGAGGTGACAGAGAGGCTCCTGTGCAGGAGGTCAGCTCCCGCCTCCGTGCCGTGGATGCTGTTAATCAGGCTGCCGTGAGCCGGCGGCTGCACCACGGTGAAGGTGAGCAGCTCAGGTGGGGCGTCCAAGTCAAAACCATCCAGTATGGATGGAATTAGCTCCCTCATCCCGCCCTCTTTTACCTGCAGAGAACAGGAGGAGTGCGCCCCCGTGAGGCTGTTGGGATCATCGCAGATTCAGTTTCAGTCAGAGCAATCGTTTTACTTTGACTCTCGTGTGAATTTTGTTTAGTCTTTATTGTTATTTTCTCTTGTTTGATGTCACAATTACAGCTTTGTCACCTCAATCGGGGGGAGGTGACAATGTTTTTAATAACCAGTCAGCTGTCTTCAAGTCATAGCTGATTGATGACCGATTACTGATCAGGCCTCAGGTGTACGTACGGTGAAGTTGGCGAGCAGCAGCGATGGTGTTTCGTCATTGGTTGGTTTGATAATGATGTAGAAGGAGACGGGGGCGGAGCGATGCAGCCCGTCGCTCACACTGATGGACAGCTGGTCGACAGTTGGCTCCACCCCTTTGTGCTCCGATTGCACGTAGTTGATGAAGCCAGAGGTCAGGTGTGTGAGAGTGAAGGATTCTGGGAAAAGACAAACATTAGAGTGAGATCTGAGTTGGCTCCCCGAGGTTCTGCCCGTGCAGCGCACACTGACCGACTCGCACTCCCGCGTTGCTCTTTTCGGAGCCGGGCATCGGCTGCGTGTTCTCCAGGAAGCCGTGAAGGGGAGGAGTCTCCAGGTGAAAGACAAGCTGCTCAGGGGGACTGTCTGGGTCTGACGCTCCGAGGACCCCCCCGCACAGACAGATAGAAGAGCCTTCATCCACCACCAGCATGGACTCGCCTGCGCCAGGACACAGCAACACCTTCATTCTTCATTTATCAACTATGCTGCTCGCCACACTGACTGAGCGCCTGATGGTGGATTTCAACTCCACTGCTTCCACACATGCACGCCACGCAGTAAGCACAGCGTCCACCGAGAAGTTCACTCGAAGCACACGGGAGCACTGGCTTATTTTCTGCCATGATGTTGAAGCCCACCTGAGCCACTAGCACAACTCTGGGCTGGACATGTTGTACACAATAGGTACAGGTGTAGATGTTGAGCTGCCAGCTCCTCATGTGTTAGCGGACGGTTCATGCAGGCGAATCTGTCCATTCTTTCACTCCCACCTCATCACACTTTACCCCAAACTGAGATCTCTCACAGCTGGAAACTAAACCTGTTTAGTTTCTAACTAAAGTTCAGGCATCGTTTAATAATCCAGTTTTTTTTATTGAGTGAAACTCAAACAGGACCAGGAGCAGAATTCCCTCCACCTGCAGCCTCCACCCCCCGTTTCCTGCAGACAGGAGCGGGTCTAAGCCTGCTGTGTTCAGTTGGAGTATGAACACTGTGGGCGGATGTGAGTGGATGGGTGTGAGCATTAATGAGGGACAGTCCTGGATCTGGCTGATAAACCAGCGTCGTCCTAAAACAGGAACACGTGGATGTGAGGCTTGCTCCACTAAGGCTCTTATTCTGTGTCTTTATTCACTGCTAATTAATTAGACCAAGAACCCCCCACCCAAACACCAGCACCACCACACGCGCATGCACACACACACACACGCACCACCCCACCCTCGGCCCTGAACTGTGCGCTGGTGCCGAATGAGCAGGGAGACCTGCCGGCAGGATTACGAGTCGTCCCGCCGTCGGCAGCGCTAAGCTGATCTGGCTGCTGAGCTGCGGCTAACACGTCTCCTATTGTGAGCACGAAATGGAGGTTCTGTCTTTTGTTTAGTTAAGACGCTCATTGTCCGCTGTCCACACACACACACGGTGAGATAATCTCTCAGCCGTGTGTGTGTTTTCATGTAATACCACCAGACAATTAGCAGATTTCATTTAAAACACATCAGTGCCAACCTCGTTAGCCGGCTGACAACACACACACACACACACACACACACACACACACACACACA